CTCGTTCGTCGCTCAGTTTTTTCAGGAACATTAGCTCGTTTCCTTTTTCCAGCCATCGATCACTCTTTTTCCCCTGCTAAACAAAACCCTCAAAATCACAAATCCAAAACAAGGGTTTCAGATTGAGTCACGAGCGGAACACGAAAACGAGGACATGAACAAAAATCTGGAGAGGAAAGAAGCAAACCAGGAGAATCGAACGAAGAAGAAGAGATGGAAGACTAAGCAGCGCGAGATTGATACTGTGAAGAAGACGAAGAAGAGAACCAAAAAAAAAAAACTCCTCTTTATTTTTTTTTTTTTTATTTTTTTTTTTTTTCCAAGGAGTAAGTAGATTACGAAATAAATGTTATGTGTGCTCTTTCCCGGTGAGTTCAACTTTTCGGTTTCCCTCCAAATCATTTTGTCGGAAAAAAGAAAAAAAATTTGCTTCTAACTTGATGGGCCTAATTAGGCCCAATTCATTTAAAGAAACTATGAACCATGTTCGACGAATCAAGTCAGAGATTTTCCCCTGTGAAATCATATCCACTTATTTGTGAAAATTCGGCTGTATTTACGGAAAATTTTTTCAAAAGGAAGACTGTTTTTTTTTACTTATTAAAATTTCCTAATCCATGATCTTTATTTTATAAAACGATACACAAATTTGAATTTCTAAAGTTATAAAGATTTAACAGATAGCATATTCAGTAGTCAGTAGTCACCAGACTCACCACTTGTTCCATCCGAACTATTGATTATTGAATACAAAACAACTCACAAGTTACTACATTTCATAGGTTCTTTTAAACCCACCAATCAAAGTCAGTGTCCGATATGAGAGAAGAGATCTGACTTTACGTTGACTTTGACAGACTGCAAAGCCCATCTTGACAAAGGCCCGGCCTTTTATCTTTTTCCCTCTAATTTTGTTGGATACACAAGTAAATTCGGAAAAAACAAATAACCATAATCGGTTTGGTTCGGTTCGGTTTGGTTCGGTGGGAGAAAGAATCGAAACCGAAGCAGTGGTCCATGGGGAGCGAAGCAGCAGGGTGTTTGACGGCTACTTAGCGGAGCCCAAAAATCCTCTTTTGCCTTATCTTCCTCCTTCCTCCCAAACAAATCTCCTAATTCTCTTCTCTTCTCTTCTCTTCTCTTGGGCCGTTGAGTTGTCTCTCCGTCCAGGTATAATCCCCCTTGCTTCAGTGCTCTAGGGTTTTCTCTAATCGCCCTCAATTTCATCATCCTTCTCTTCTTTAATTGAATTCGACTTGGGCTTCTTGCTTTATCGCATTGCTAACTCCCCCCCTTATTGTGTCTCTTCTTCCTCGATCTCCCTTTCGTGGGTTTGTGTCAGATAGAACAAAAGATTGCGTATTCCGACATAACCGATCATCGAATAACCATTCGCTGCTGTCTTCTCAATCAGCCGTAAAAGTAAGTACTTTGGTTTTAATTTGGTCCCTGAATCAGATGCTGTTACTTCACTGATTTTAAATTTGGAACCTTTTGCATAAATTTCAATTCTTCTGTTACAATATGGCACATTTGGTTTCTCTATGGACTCCTCAGAATGGCAGCTGATCAGAGGAGAAAGCGGATGAACAGTGCCAATGTTATTGGTTTCAGTTCTCGGGACCATTACAGATCAAAAAGGAAAAAGATTGGCTCACCAGATGGTGCTCTGCGTTCAGGTGATCACATCAGTCTTGAATGGGACCGCAACAGAAGTAAAGTAGTCTCTAAGAAGGAACAGGTTGGCTTAAGTTTTAGACATCTTCGAGAATTTGTTGATGTTCTTCCTCCTAGGCGGCATATCTTGGCACAAGTATGCCCCGTTCCGCATGATACTTTCCAGTTGGAAAATCTGTCAGAGGTGCTTTCTAATGAGGTAATACAAGTGCTATTCTTGTGTAACATCTGCCTACACATTTTGAAATGATAAGTTTCCATCATTTTCATCTCCACTTATTTTTGCCAGGTTTGGCGCTCTAGTCTATCTGATGGCGAAAGAAATTATCTGCGGCAGTTTCTCCCTGATGGAGTTGATGTGGAGCAAGTTGTACAATCATTGCTCGATGGGGAGAATTTTCATTTTGGAAATCCTTTTCTTGATTGGTTAGTTGCACTGAACTTTGGGATTCCTAGAATGAACTCTGTGATTGCTTCTTAAACCAAAAAAGAGCTTGAAATAATGCCGAGCTCCATGATCTGCCTTTATAGCCTCATTATAAACCGCATACTTGGTGATGGTCTAATATGTATGCTCAAGAAATTCGACTCCATTTGAGTGTATGTTGTGGTTTCAGGGGAGAAGCTGTCTGTTCTGGCAAAGCTCATCCAGATCAAATCGTTTCTCGAGAGGAAGACCTGAGGGCTGGTAAAAGGAGATACTATTCAGATTTAGAGAAATACCATCATGAGTATGTGCAGTTTTCTCTATTCAGATTATAGGAGCACTCAGAATGTTTGTCGACATGATTGTAACTCCTCTTTTCATTGTTTCTGGTAGTATTATAGATTATTTGCAGACGTTGAAGGAGAAATGGGAAATCTGCAAAGATCCAGAGAAGGATGCTGTCAAAATAATATGGGGGTCAGTAAATTTGCTATTTAGAAGAATTGTTGAAGTGTAACGTAATTATGCAGATACATTGAAAAATCACGTAGTTTAGAGAAGAATATATAGTCAAGCAATAAACGATGTGATTAAAAAATATGCCTTACAGAATATGGATTTATGTTGAGCTTGAGTCTAGTGATGCCTTTATCGAGATTTTATTTCATTATACGTAACTAGTAATTATGATTCACCTATTGCTTATATTTATTTCTCAGGAGATCAAGAGGGGCCAGTGCACATGTAAATGGTAGCTGCCAAGATCTAACTGCTGCCTCGGAGTCGAGTTCCTGGACTGCAGATGAGAAACCATGCAGTAGTGATAATAAGAACCCTTCGGTTCTCAGGAGTGGAGAGGTTCAGAAAAGGTGCTGAAAAATACTCTTACACATGTATATGCAATTGCTGTTACTATTCTTTTCCTTGTCCCTAACCTACATACTAATTTTTCTATCCATTTTAGGCCCAACAGCTCTGCTGTAGAGAAAGAAAAATATCAAAGTCTCTTGATTGCTCGAGATCATGTTGTTAATGCGGGAGTAAAAGCTAGAAAGAAGGACATGCTACCGAAACATAGTATTCAGCAAACTGATGGTGCTAAATACATGTCCTACCTTAAGGTTTGTTATTCTTGGGCATTTCTAAATATATTTAATAAATGCAGTCAATCATCAAGCAGCAGCAAACTGGCTGTTCCAAAGTTTATCAGCTTAAAAATTATTAGAATGTCCTGATCTCCATTAAACAGCTGCATGCATAGTATTTTGGAGTGGCTTGGAAAACAAACGATTGTTATTTGTGTCGCTTTTGTTGGCTTGAATCTTCAATTTCCGTTCATGTAACAGATGTGTTTATTGATCAAGCATTTAACTGCAATTCGTTTTTTAGATAAGCAAGAAGCAGCATCAGATTGTCACAAGCATGAAGCAGTCTGGTAAAAGCATTCAATCAAGAGCACTTAATCGAATCTTGGGTAGCATCAATAATTTGGATGTTCAACCATACGGAGTGTTTGTGGAAGAAGAACAAAAGAAACTGAAGGCTCACTGGTCAGTGTAATGGTGAAACAAGTGGCTTCCTTCATCAGGCCTCTAATTTAGATTTCTTAAAAATTTGGTTGTTTCATGCAGGCTACAACTGGTGAAAGATCTTCCTGCAGCATATGCAATATGGAAAAAGCTACAGTTACAGAAACGAGATATAATCAGCTCTGTGGGAAGAGAACTGAAGGACAAACTTGATCCATGGATGGAGGTTCGTTTTCTTTGTAAACATGTATAATAGATTGTTTCTACATTCGTATGTGGTTAACGACTTTTATGGGAACAGGATAAACAGGACCTATACGCTGCAGAAAGCCCTTTGCAGAAGCATGATGTTCAATACAATGATCGAGAAAGTTTGAATCCTAATCAGAGTGATGATTTGGCGCCAGACGCTGAAGATTCTGTCATATTCAGTCAAGTCTCTGGCAAGCATCACTCCCCTTCAAAGGATTCTTTGTCTTATGGTGACCAAATCACAGAGTCAGGTCGCTGCTTGCAAATTGGTGCATACCCCTCACAGGTTTCGTCACCAGATTGTGGCAATAACATCCATCTGGAGGATAGAGAAGAGAAACAATATTCTTCTCCTTGTTCTCCCAGCAGGTGTCATGGCCTTAACCAAACGGAGGTTGAAGCAAATGATTATCCTAGGTCTATACAAGGTCAGCCACTCCCACAGGTTTCATTTCCTAGTGTGCCCCACGCGGCAGATCTTGATGATGCAAATCCTGTAGGCAAGCACTGTGTATCAGAATTAGAGAATGCTTCGTCAGACCAGAGGATTCCTTGTATTACTTCAAGCCATGGAGAAGATCCACAGTTTTGTTCTGTTGGAGATGTGTGGCAGCCAGTAGGAGGAATAAGGCAGTCCTACATTAGCCGCCAAGCTTACACCCCCAGTGGTGGATTGTCAATCATACACCATCCTGAAGGTGATCAAGCAGCTAAAAACTGTTTCATAGACCTAGAATCGAACATGCCTGAAGAAGTTGATAGGAGGAAGATGTCTCAACGAAAAGCAAACAACAGTTTTGGTTCTTTCCCTAACAATGATCAAAATGAACTGCTCCAGTCTTTGTTTAATGGCCAAGGTGTGGCATCTCGCACCACTGAGCAGCTCCACTCTCTTCTCAAAGTCCCGATTAATGAGCATAAACAAATTATGGGAATTGGTTTTCAGCAGCAAGGAAGCAACAATCTGATGGAGGGCAGTCAATTTACTGGTCAGTTTCATGATCAGATGCCAGCACCACATGTGTCCCAGGACCAGCAGAGACAAATTGACGTCTATGGCCAAGGAAGCATTTCAGACAACATTTACTGCAATGGACGTGAATTCTTGATGCAGCGGCCGGACTGGAACACCAATTGTGGTCAGGTAGGAGTTACCCAACATCCCCGGTTGAGCACTGGCCCTTTATTAAATCAGAACTGGCAATTTAGGAGCATGTGGGCAAACACAAACGGTGTCGGATGTACAAGTCAAGGCAGTCAAACTGGAACTGAGAGAGATCCGAGCATTCTCAGAGTTGCTAATAACGCGGAGCAGATAGTTCATACGGGAGGTAGTTCAGATCAAAGCTTATTCTCTGTTCTCTCTCAATGCAGTCAATTGCGCCATTCCAGATCTGCTTTTGAGCCAGAAAGTTCGAGTGATCAAGTGGTTGCATCTGGTAACTATAATATGCTGATGGGGGGAGGTACAACTCAGGTAGGCAGCAATTTGGTTCAGCCGCCGAACCCGCTTGATTACTTGAGCGGTAGCAACCCGGTAACGTCTTTGATGCCGGATGATGTAGCATGGATGAACCAGAGCCGCCAGAACTCTGGTCTCCATGACCCACTAGGCAAGCTGTATCCAAGGTCATGGAATCCATAAGTTACATGCTTTTGAAGTTTTGCGTTGCAGAAGAAGCACCTGGCATATACAAAACCCAACTTGGGTTCTTAGTTTTCGTTTCTGTGCCTGTACATAGAAAGATACAGAGGAACTTTGGTGTTGTACATATTTAGATTTTGAGATATGGATTAGGAAGAAAGTGAGGATACTCAGCTACCTTTTTATTTGGCTTCTACATTTTGTCAGCTCACCCTCTCTCTCAAGTATTGTTTAATTCCTTTTTTGCCATAATAATGTTGGAAATACCAATGTCGTCTTCTTTTTTCTTGATTCCAACATCTATTTGCTAAGGAAGTTGGTCTAAATGGAATCAGCCTCGCACGATTAATTTTCAACGTTTTTCAGACATTTTCCTTTTTGGTTTCGTTTTTGTCGATTTTATAAGTGTTGTTGGTCGATGGGATGATTCAAGATAATACTATGTAGTCAAACCCACGAAATAACAGTAAATATGTTGAAATTTTGCATTTGTAAACAGAAAAATACTTTTGTTAGGGTTAAAATTATTTGTTTGTTTTTCTTTTTTTTTTTCTGGAAGTTTCAACTTACTCAATGAAATAATGTTATTTACAATGAATGCAGTGGTTGTTGATACATTACGTTACGTGGTCGATCGAGCAGAAGGAGGAGAGGCTGAGGCTGACCACCAGGCAATGATAGCCGGTTTATAATATATCAGTATATTTGTATAAGTTCCAATTTCAAACACTAATGCATATGAGCGTGACGTTTAGGTGTTTCAACTTTCAAAGGCACTAAACTCACTCATGCATTGGAATTGGAAACATCACAGTAATTTCAAACAACGTGCTGCTTTAAATTCTGATATTACCTCTTCACCTAAACAAGACAGGTGAAAATTATTGAATCCATAACCATTATAATTATAATATACTGGCGTGAAGGAATTGAAAAAAAACGTTTTAATGTTGAACTTATATATACCCTTCCTTGTTTCAGCACTTATTGTGTAGACTTAAAGAACGTGGTGCTATAAATAATAGGGTGTGTTGGCAAACTAGTACGTTTTTGAAACATAATTATAAAAGTAGTACATTTACTATTCATAATTAGCAAAATAGTACATTTTTACTATTTCAGATATCTGTACAGACAGACAATTGTACGGTAACATATTATTGTACATCAAATATTTGTATAAAGGGAAACAAGTACAAATAAACATATTTACACATAAACAAATATACATATATAGACCAGAAAATATCTGTACACATACAATTATACGTATATACAGACCGCTGTACGGATGATTTTCCGTACATCGACATACAATTGTACATAAGAATAGTTGGACGTATCAAAATTTGTTTGAAAAATATTTGAAATTATTATAAAAAAAATGCATATCAAATTATAGAGAAAAAAATATAGATTTTTATGTAATTGAAATTTTATATAAACCAAATATATTTTGATGAATATTTTAGTTATTAGATTTAAGAGGATTTTTAATAGTGTCTAAATAGTGTTCAAATAGTAAAAATGTATTAGTTTGCTAATAATGAATAGTGAATGTACTACTTTTACAATTATGTTTCAAAAATGTACTAAAAATCCAATTAATCCTAAATAATAATGGTGATGCCCCTTCTTCACCTAATGGGAGAAATGAAAATTATTGAAATAAGCATTCACGTGAAGGATGACTGGCAAAAGGAAAACAAGAAAATTCACGTAGAGAAATTGCAATTACTAAATGTGAGAACCATTCCAAGTCGTAAAGATGGATCAGTAGCCAATACTGTTCAGTCCTATTTTTATGTCTCTAGAGCCCATCTTCAATTGTCTCTTTCTTCGTGTCTGCGTCTGCATTTCCCTTCAGCGGGTACCATTAGTTTACCTTTCTTCGAAGCCTGGTGGGAGCAACATCTTCATGCAGAGTCAGTACCACTTTGACATTATCCCATGCATGTGACATTAATACGGATTCTTCCTACGATTAGTGGTAAATTTCGAGCATGTGAAGAGAATTTACTGTCTCAGACCATTTGTCCTTCTTTAGCTACCCATTATAAATATATACATCACAATTCACACGTTACTACATAAATGTTCTCTACATAACCGAGACTATTCATCTTACTGCTCCAGGGACGAGAGAGAGAGAACTTGTGTGGTACTGATTAATATTTCCGATATATTCACTTACAGTTTTGATAATTTCCCTTAGATCATCTCCTCTTGTTCCGGATTGCTTCGACGGTTTGTTCTGTTGTTAACCTATTTGTTTTTCCTTCTTCTTTTTTGTGGGAGTTTTTAGGTTCGTTGTTGCTGAAGGAAGTGGCGGAGAAGTACACGGAGGCGTTGTTGGAGAAGCACAAGTACCACCACGAGGGAGATGTGGATGTGAAGATGGAGCAGATGAAGCAGCTTTTCCTGGAGCTTTCTTTCGTTTGGACCATCGTCCTCTCCACTTGTAAACACCTTTACTTCCCTTTCCTCTAAACAGTTTTTATTATGTTAATTTACAATTTTGATGTCGAATAGTTTTGAAAAACAGAGGTACTCTGCTGATTCGAGTAGTTTTGCTTTTATTTTTACAACTGTTTTTTGAGAGATTAGGGAAAATGATTGGCTAATTAGTTTTGGCTATCTGTGAAAAAGCTTTCCTGTGTCATAAAACTAATCGTTCTCAATTTGAATTCATGTGTTTGCAGCTCTGCTTATTTCTTCACTCGACCCAGTTCTCTCTTGTATGGTGAGTATTTGATAAGAATTTAAGAGCTATCATTATCATGGAACAGATTTTTGTTTTTGTATCTAGAGCCTTTATTGTCCTGAGCTTTTTGTCTGAACAAAGAAACTCATCACTTGGAATCTGACTATGCAGATATTTTCAGTATGTTCTAACAGTCCAAAAATATATGGAGGCCTAAGCTACTCAACCAATGAAGTCGGTACAGTTCTTGTTATCTCAGGTATGCAGAACATCCTCGCACTTGATGTCTTGTGTTTTAGTGATAACAAGTTAAGAACTTGTGAATATGATGATTAGAGTCTGCTTTGATTTGAATCTGCGTGAGAGTTAAGCAATTATGAATAAACAGAGTTAAACTGAGACTGTGTTATTACTCATCAACATTTCTGATTTAGGTCTCCGCTTATTTTCCTTTTTTTTTGGTTGTTTATGAAAATGCTAGGACCTAGTTGATATTTCCTTTGATGCTTCTTTGTAGATTATATGTACTTCACTTAAATGAAACAAAATAGAGATCGTTCTTCTGACAATTTCTTTCATTTCAGGCACTGATGACACAAAGGAGTTATCCATTTATAGCAAATTTATTCAGGTATATATCAGTCTAAGCTTGATGTTATTTTGTAAAAATTTCTCCTTGGTTATTTGCTTTAGTTCTGGATTGCTTCGACCGTTTTTTCAGTTGTTAAACTATTGCATCTTTTTTTTTCCTGAAATATAACGGAACATTCTCATGAAATAATATGCGCAGATTCCGGTATGCGTTGCCCTGCTTTACCATATCAGCTTTTGCATGGGTTGTGACAGTACTATGCTGCTTCATTCCGGTATGTTTTGCCTTAATTTGACTTCATTCATTTGATATTTCCTTTGATGCTTCTTTGCAGATATGTAGCCCACTTGAATGAAACAAGATAGAGGTCTTAATTTTCTTCTAACAGTTTATTTCATTTCAGGCCCTGATGATACCGATGCAAATTAGTTATCCGTTTATAGCTAATCTAACGGGTCTCAGTCAAAGCATACTGTTGAACTGTGCATCAATCCTACTAAACGTTCTTAGTGTAAGTCCAAAAGAAAACAATTTCACGTTAATATATTTCTCAGCTACTTACGTTACAGTTTTTTGTGAATACAGGTGTCTGCGATAACCGGTTTGTTGATTCTTCAAAATAAAGCGGTGGTAAACGAGCATTCTTTAATCTTTTGTAAACCGATCCAATACTGAAAAACATTTAATTTCATTTTTTCTTTTGTATGAAACAACCAAAAACAACAGGATCAGAACCAAAGAGGGGCGGCTAATGGAATTGCTATGACTGCCATGTCTCTTTTTAAGACCATTGGACCAGCTGGTGCTGGCATCTTGTAAGTGACATTTCGAATGACCATGCTAAGTACATTCAAAGAAACGGTAATATAATGACACTTAAACAAAAATCTGTACTATTTCTGGCAGATTTTCTTGGAGCGAAAGGCGACTAGATGCTGCATTTCTACCAGGTATCTCATTACTCACGAGTCACGACCATAGCCATCACCAAATAGTTAATATGTATATATCTTGACTTTGGTGTCAAGGTAAGACTTTAAAAGTGAAGTGGGCTTCTTGGTTTTTTTTTTTTTGTTTTTTTTTCACAAGTGTGGTCTGTTGTATCTAGCCGAGTCTTTGCGCAGTAAATTGCAGCGAGCCTATGAAACTTCATTATCTTGTGCTCTTCGTCTGAACAAGAAGTATTCATCATTTGGATTTGGCTATGCAGTTATATGCACTATGGGGCAAACAGTTCAAGGAAATATGAAGGTCTGAGCTATTCAACCAATGATGTCGGTACAGTTCTTGCTATCTCAGGTATGCAGAACATCCTCACTCTTGATGTGTTGTGTTTTAGACTTTTAGTAATAATAGCATGATGATAAGACTCTGCTTTGATTGAATCTTCTTGAGACTTAAGTAAGCAGAATTCTTACCTATGAACTGGAGACGGTTATAACTCATCAACATCTTTTTGCTTTAGGTCTCGGCCTATATATTCTCCTTTCAGGTTTTTTTTATCCTTTGGCCCAGAGACTATGCTAGGACCTGTGCCGGTGAGTGGTTACCCGTTTTGCTGGAACCAGTTGATATTTCCTTTGATACTTATCTGCAGATTAAATGATAGAGATCTTTCTTCTGAAATTTTCTTTCATTTTCAGGCACTGTTGATACCAATACAAGCGACTTATCCATTATAGCAAATTTATCAGGCCTCAGTCTAAGCTTGATGTTAAGTTGTCCATCAATCCTCCTAAATGTGCTAATTGTAAGTTCAATCGACACATTTAGGAGGATTAATGCACAATTTCAACATCAAGTTTAAACTTAGATCTGATAAATTTGCTATAAATGGATAACTCATTTGCATTGGTACCATCAATACTTGAAAGAAGACCTCTATCTTGATCCTAGAAGTCTTTGTGCCTATACTGTCTGCCATAACTGGTAAATGGACATTCTCTAATCTTTTTCCAAACCGTGGTCCATTTTGTAGATTTAACTTCACTTTTGTTGTATAAAACAGCAAAAACAACAGGATCAGAGGCGGGCGGGTTGCTATGACTGACCGTTGGACATGCTGGCATCTCGTAAGTGAAACTTTTGAATGAACAACTTGAGTAAATTCAAAGAAGTAGTGATAACTTTTAAACTCAAATCTCTATTGCTGACAGATCTTCTTGGAGCGAAATGTGACTCGACACGACGATGCCCCATTTCTACCAGGTATTGCATTACTTACTTCCCTTGGTCGGCCATTATTTATGATGTTCATAATGCTTATGCTTAACACAAATAAATTGAAAACGTATGCATGCAGGACAGCGTATGGTGTTCTTCGTTATGAATGGGATAGTTGTGGTCGGAGTAGCTCTCAAGTTCAAGCCATTCCTAACCACGACTCCAATGTGAAATCCGTTTGAATTGGTGATATGGAATGTAATGTATGGATTCGTTGTTTCGATTCATGTCAATATTTCATAATTGAAAGAAACCGTAATCATATTGTACTCAGCTTAGAATTTCAGCTTCTGTTTATGTTCGTGAAATTTTAAGAAGCTTCGGAGTTGGTTGGGCCCTTTATGGGTTTGGGCTTAACAGATTGAATCGTCTTTGTCATGGTATTTATATCTCTTTTGTAACCATTGCCCATTAGTACTACAAAAATATTCAGAAAAGAGCTTTCATATGCTATAGAAAATATAAATGGTTTCTCTCATGGTTTGGGTTAAGATGAGTAAATAAAACAAGTGGACTCTAGATAGCATAGATTTAAAGATGAGGCACATCATATCAAATGGTAATGAAAAACGACGGTGAGTAAAAGACAAACTATCACATGATTCACATAGATGTGGAGTTGCCAAACTTGTTACATAGAAAAGGAAAAGTGCATAGGCCTCTGATAGATCTAGTAGGGCTTGTAGTTGAATCTGACTAGTATCTGCTATCGAGAAGAGAACAGAGGAAGATTTATAAACCAACCTTCAATTTTTGATATTTGTCTAGGTCTACCCCTAACTCTTTTTAATATGTTGCTTTTTATAATCAAAAACTGAAAAGGTAATAATCCTCCGATTAGAATGTATACTTGTTTTTTTTGACCAAAAAATGTATACTTGTTTTTTGGAAATAAATTGGGTATAACAATGTAAATAGTCCAATATTTTAAAAATCCAAAAAGTCACACACGAATCACGATTTCTTTAAATTTCCTTAATTTTGTTTTACTCAAGGTTTCTTTGTATAAAGGAAGGAGAGGCGAGGGTTGTGCCCAACAACTTAAAATTTCTCTCTTCAGAGTAAGGTACCTCTGTCTACTATATATTTCTTCTTCTTGCGGATTTTGTGCCTCTCTCTCTCATGCGTTTTAGACTTCACAGACAAGGGTTTGTCTGATTCTACTAGTTGCTACGATCGATATCTTTTTTTAGTTCTCACAACAGTTCACTTAATTTTTTTGTGGTAGATGGAAGGCCAAGAGCAACATGAGCATAACAAGCAATGTGACTCCGAAGAAAGCAATCATCACCATGTGCTTCAGATTTCAATAGCAGAGGCAAGCTCGGTGCGATTAATCAAGAAGACATGTGGAGAAGCCTCTTGCGGGTTCTCTGATGCCAAGACGAATTCACGAGACGCTGCAGAACGAGCAGCATCTATAAGGAAGCTCTTGGTGGCTGTTGTGCTCTGTGGCCTCTTCATTACCGTCGAAGTGGTTGGAGGGATCAAAGCCAACAGTCTTGCCATTCTCACTGATGCGGCTCATCTTTTGTCCGATGTTGCAGCCTTTGCCATCTCCTTGTTCTCTCTCTGGGTTTCAGCTTGGGAGCCAACCCCACGCCACTCATATGGCTTTTTCAGGATCGAGATCCTTGGTGCCCTTGTATCCATCCAGATTATTTGGCTTCTTGCCGGCGTTTTAGTCTACGAAGCAATTGCTAGACTTCACAACGGCTGTGGCGAAGTTCAGGGTTCTCTCATGTTCCTTGTCTCTGCAGTTGGTCTCCTAGTCAATATTGCTATGGCTGTTCTGTTGGGACACGACCACGGTTGTCACAGTCACGACCATAGCCATCACCATGAGCATGAACATGATCATCACCATGATGATCCACATCTATCTGAAGCCTTGCTTGATAATGGTACTGGAGGTGGGAAGAGTGAGAAGAAGCAGCGTAACCTGAACATTCAAGGTGCTTATCTGCATGTGATGGGAGATTTAATCCAGAGCATCGGGGTGATGATAGGAGGCGCAATC